GCATTGTCCCCATGAGCTTTTCATAAAAACATCAGTGATTTCGCCATAAATGTGATGGCTATTCTTGTTTCAAATTTAGCAGTTGATTATGAACTTTTTCAAACTGATGTCTTATCTCTTCTTAGTGCTTCAAACTAGATCTCGTTCAGACATGTGATAACAAGTTAGTACAAATTTATTTTTGTACAAAATTTTTGAAATCCATTCATAGTTTTGCATTTTCCATGCATGCATAATATGCGTTTTCCATGAACCTTTGAAAACTACTTGCATAGAAAAAAACAGCATATATAGGGTTTGGTGCTATCCAAAGTTTCAGGCAATCACTGGGAGGTCTTTGAACTATCCCAGTGGATAAGGGAGGACTACTTTGCTAAAAACTATCCCTTGTTTAACTGAAATTCAAATTTAACTGAGTGACCTGCATTTTGTCTACCAACCCTATCCTGGGGGCAGTTAAAAATACCAGAGGCCAGGCTGGGCGCGGTGGCTCACGCCTGTAATCCCAGCATTTTGGGAGGCCGAGGAGGGTGGATCACGAGGTCAGGAGATCGAGACCATCCTGGCCAACATGGTGAAACCCTGTCTCTACTAAAAATACAAAAATTAGCTGGGCGCTGTGGCGGGTGCCTGTAGTCCCAGCGTCTGGGAGGCTGAGGCAGGAGAACCACTTGAACCTGGGAGGCAGAGGTTGCAGTGAGCTGAGATTGCGCCACTGCACTCCAGCCTGGCGACAGAGCAAGACTGTCAAAAAAAAGGAGGAGGAGGAGGAGGAAGAGAGGAAGAGAAAGAGGGGAAGAGGAGGAAGAAGAGGAGGAAGAGGGAAAGAAGAAAGGAAGAAGAAGAAGAAAAGAAGGAGCAGGAGAAAAGAAGAGAAAGGGAAGAAGAAGAAAGGAAGAAGGAGAAGGAAGAAGAGGAGGAAGAGGAGGAAGAGGAAGAAGAAGAAGACGGGCTGTGGGACAGCAGCAGCAGGAGGAAGAGGATAAGAGGAAGAAGAAGTTAAAGAAGAAAGAAGACGAAGAAGCAGCAGCAGCAGGAGGAGGAGGAGGAAGAAGAAAGAAGAAAGAGGAAGAAGAATTGCTTATCTTTTATCTTAGCGTTACTCAGTGGGGAGTCTTCCAGGTGTGATGGAGAGTCCGCTCTGATTGTTAGGACAAACCAGCTGGGCTACTTTTTCCACAGGCCGCCCCAATTCCTTTGGGTTCTGATTTCTCTGAGGTCCCAGGATCCAGACAGGCTTGGCCAATCCTTCCTGCCCAAACTGTAACTCAGAACCAACACCTGGCATAGGGCTGGAGGGGAAAATGGGTGAGGTCAGAGACAAAGAAGAGGTAAATTTCCAAAGAAATCTGTCCTTTGCCCTCTTTGCACCTTTGACACATTCTGGAAGTTTTCTCAGGCTTTGGACACTGCTGGGGATGGAGGTGTGGAGAGGTGGGGAGTTCTCTGTCTTCATAGTAAATAACTCTGAAATATGTGAATGTGATTGGCAGGAGAATCTGGCCAAGGATGGGGCCGAAAAGGGTGGTTCTAATTGTTTGCTTCTGATGTTGAGTCCTTAGCTGGCCCCACAGGCAGGTTTCCAAGGTGCAAAGAGATCTTTCCCAAGTCAGCGGCCCCATCCTTATCCTCCCACCCTTTACTTCCTCACTCTGCAGTCTCCCTCAAGGATCTACTGTGAAAGGTGTGTTTGTAGTGATATCCAACTAACTCAGTAACGAAGCCGTTACTTAGCTCTTAGCTGTGAAATAACTCTGGAAACTTCCCCACCCCAACCATAAATTATTACTTACAAAGAAATAGGTCCCCAAACTGGAAACAGCTTAGTCCAGCGAGAAAGAAGGACACCATGACTGCTCGATGCTGGGCACAGCTGGGCCGTCTTGCCAAGTGCCCGCTGGAGGCTGAGCAGGCAAGAGGCCTGCAGCAAGGAGATGCCTTCCCCTCAGGCCATTGTCAATACCGTCTTTATCTGGAGGTGGGGAAGTGCAGCCCTCTGAGACAGCAGGACAATGGTCAGTTCAGAGAGGGTGAGGGCAACAGAGGCTTCAGAGGACACAGAAGCCAGAGGACCCCCTGCCCCACAGCTGGGTCAGCCTGGAAAATCCGTCTGTTAGGGACTTTTTGGCAGCCAGATGGCAGCAGTAGCCCGTTAGGCCTCATCCCGAGTTCCAAGTCGTGGTTGCAAATGAGCCTCAGTTCGCCTTATTGGAGAGCACCCCCAGACTCCGGGGCACAGTTCACTTCCAGCGCTTTCTAGATCTGATCTTTTAGGGGGAAAGACAGCTTAAAATGTTCTTTTTGTTTTAAAGAAAATTCTTCTGTCTGCTTAAGTTGGAGGCTACTTTCACCTGACATTTTCTTTCCTTTTATTCTTCCAGATCAGGAATGAAATTTCCATGCTGCTCATAAAGATAATATTGTACTAATTATTTTAATTACCATTGTAATTATGATCATTATGTTGATATTTTAGTCAGGGTTTTAAATGCACGTTTATTCCAAGTATCTTTGTATTTTCTCTTTAATATTTAAACTTATTCTCTCTGTGAGTATATGAGTAGACTGGAGGGACATCCACATGTCCAGTTTTGTCAGGCAAAAAAAAAAGGAAAGACTTAAGAAGTAGGAAAATTGTTTCTGTCATCTCTATCCCACCAAGAGCCGTCAAGAAAGATCCACCACAGAACAAAAGTTTAAAGAAGAATCAAAGCCTTGATTGGGCTTCTGACAACATAGTCACCATCAAGGTTGTCATTTTCTAGATCCCAGCGAGCTGGGATGCGACATCAGGTGGCATCTCGTGGGCTCGGGGAATGCCGAGTCACTGACTATCCAGCCCTTAGCTGGCTTCTCTCCCACATCCTCAGAGTTCTCCTGTGCTTCTGAAATCTGTTAACTGAATCTTTGGCTTGCCTCTGATATTTAAGCAAGAAAATTTCCTCCCAGAGGTGACCCCAGCCGCTTCCCCACACATCCACCCTTTTCCCATCTGCGCACCTGGGGCGTGGCTTAACATTCTTCACTGCAGAAACATTTGCCCCCTCCCAGAAGCTGCTGGGCACAGTGAGGTGGCGTAAGAGTGACTGGCAGGTGGTACCTCCCCCAGAAAATTTCACCACACCACCCAGTTCCTCAGCCTGCCCCCTCCCCCTGTGATGCACGCTCCCAGCACCCAGTTCTGGCCAGCTGGAAGTGGCTGGAAGGATGGCAAGAGGCCAGAGAAACCCTGAACAAAGCTGGGTGGCTGCTCAGGCATCACAGGTTATGCCCCCTCTGAAAGTGGGCTCCGGCCACATCCTCAGTGCACTGTGCTGTGTGTGCTGGGTGCTCACATGCTGTCCCCAGACCCACAAAGTGCTAGGCCCCAGATGAAGAAAGGGGTGAAATAGCCAGCTTCACCAAAGGGAAGGGAAGGGAAGTATTGGGCGATGCCAGCCCCACAGATGCTCAGCAGGCATTAGTGCACATCCTCCTAGTCCTCACCCGATGGCCTCCTCTACCCCATGCATGGAGCTGCCACATCAGAAGCCCCAGGAGAAGCTCCGTGCAGGAGAGGCCAGCTCCCTGAAAGCCCAGTTGCATACCTGGCTGAATCTGCCATGTGGTCACCTCGGCAAATAGGCTGCTGTCACTAGGACCAAGCTCTCAAGCAGAGGGATGCCAATCTGGTCCTTACTTAGCCCACAAATCATCTAGCGCATCCTCTAGTCTTTCGTGGGCTTCCTCCTTCCCTTTTGAAGAAACATTGTTCAGAGGAAGAGGGGAAGATTTGAAATGTCAGGTCATGGAGGAGTGTTTAATTGGAGCCTGGTGAACCGCAGGGCGATTTGCTTCTGCTCACTGGGTTCTGACTGGCCCGTCTGGACGTGGGCCCCCATGTCTCCGTGCTTAGGGCCTCTTCATGATGTTTTGAATGTTTCCAAGGGAAGTGGGTGAGCAGATCAAGGGGGTGGGAGAGTCGAGGCTTGATGCCAATTAATACTGTGAAGTGGAGCGTGCGGTCAGTGGAATTCAGAGGAAAAAGAAGGGTTGGAGCAAAGCGGCATTCATCTCCTGGACTGTTAGCCTTTCTAGTCTTCCTGGTGGCTGAGGTGTTTGCAGGCTGGGGAAGCCAGCTGACCTTTGTCCTCTTCAACCTGGAAGACTCAGCCTGCCCAGACACCAACGTGTGAGACGAATGGACGTCAGGAAGGGAAGGGGAGATTAGCCCAACTGCCGACAGAACGATTTCCCTTGGTTGGACCTTGGGAATGGCAAACACTCATATTGGAACAAGCTTGGGGTGGAAGATTTAGGCCGTGTGAGCGTGTGTGAGTGAGTGGAACAAACTTTCTTGGAAACTGGAGGGAGGAGATGAGGAGGCTTCGGGAAGTATTACTGATGGCTTATAGTTGAGAGAGCGACATGGGGCCCCAGCTTGCCCCAGCTTTCGTCCCAGGTTCTCTTTGTCTGATGCTGAGGGCAGGGTGGGGTGTGGGACCACCACTCTTGCTGGCCTGTCAGGTAGCCACTAGGACAGAAAATGGAAAGAAAGAAATGACTCAGTGCTCTCAACTAGCAGAGAGAATTCAAGAGAGGCGAGGGTTCCTTCCGCAGGCAGCCTGGGACTCCACAGTGCCAGCAGGAGTGACTTTGCCACGAGACATTCCAGCCCAAGGGACTTTGCAGGCTTCATTCCCTGTCTATGTCTTTTCCTTCTGATGTGTTTTACAGATTTCTGACGGGGAAGCTTCAAACTTGAGCAGGCCAGAGATGTCCTTACCAAATTGGAAAGGAAGGTGAAGCTGTTCCTTTCTTTAGCCAAAGAACCCTTCTCAAAGATGCCTCCAGAGATGGACAAAATGGCCTTCCCCTCCTTCCTTTCCAGGCAATAATGACATCATTAGTGATGCAATTCTGTTTGTCTTTCTCTTTCCTCTCTGTCCTTTTTTTAAAAAAAAAAAAAAAAATTGTATTTGTTTCAAAACTGTGCTATTCTTTTAAGAGGAGTGGAGGACACCCCTTGGATGCTGCTGCTACTGGGAGACAAGGAGCCGTACCAATAGGTGGGCTTGACTAATCCTGGGCCACCATGGGAGCGAGCAAAGCAGAGCTGCCAGGAGTTCAGCTGCATCAGGGACGTAGAGCACGTGGGGGCTGGGCTCGGAATAGCAGTACTTTTCCACTTTGATGCCTTAGAACTCTTATTTCTCATCTCCACAGACCAGACTCAGTAAAATCTCAGGCCACTAGAGAATGGAAGGCGGTGAAACAGGATTTAAATGCAAAAGAAACGTATTGGAGGCTTTTGGCACCGTGGCTCACTAGAGGGACCCAGCATAGTAGAGGTTTCTCGTGTCTTTGTTGCAGCTTCCGAAAAGTTCAAAAAAGAGCTCCAGGCCGTTCTTTGCTCAGACCCAGTGAGAGTTTGTGGAGAAGTGCCCCCTGCAGGTCTCCTGTCCCGAACACCAGCACCAGAGGGGGTCTTCCTGATGCCCCCTGCTGGACTTGTCCAAGCCTATGGGAGCCCCTCATCTCAGATCCCTGTGCTGAACATGGCACCGACTGTCCCTTATTTGTTAAAATTTGCAATATCTCTCAAGTAAATAATAGCCAGCATTTGTTGAATACTTTCACGACTCCCGGGCCAAGGCCTTTATGAGCGTTGTCTCAAGGGGCCCCCACAGCCACCCCACAGGGAGGCGGATAACAGCCCCCATTTATAGATAAGGGAGCTGACCAGATGCTCCGAGAAGTGGCAGGTGTTGAAGGAAGGATAAAGCAGTGATGGGCCAGAATTCCCATGGTGCCCTTCCTGAGATGTGATTTTTAATCTTTTAACTTTTTAAATTAATAGCAATGCGTGGCCTCATATTTCTATGAACCATTTAGTGATACTCCCGCTTCCTGCATACCGCACACTGTGCTGGGAATTGCTCATGGGTCGTCCTGTTTCATCTTTTCAGCAGCCCTGTGAGATCGGCAATATTAGTCCCCCTACAGCTGAGGAAACTGCCCAGAGCCACACAGCTCATGAGGGGCAAGGAGGGCTTGAACCTGAGTCTGCCCAGCTCCAGAACTGAGCTTGCAGTCATTGGCTGCAGCTGTCTCCTGCATGTCTGAGCAAAGAAAGGCCTTTACACAGCATCACCCTGTGCCATCCCGCGCACTGTGGGACTCAGCTGAAGGACTGTGCAAAGAGGGGGCTCCTGAGTTGGATTTAGGCAAAAGGGGCAGAATTAGTTTGATTTTTAGAGAAAATCTCTGGAGAGTTTCTTTTGATTCATAGTAGAATTCCTTTTAGATTTCTTTCCAGCATACCAACTAGCTTTAGTAGTGCTGCTACAACCGGCTCTTATAAGTAAGAGTGAAAAAGAAGTATTCTTTTCTTCTTTAAAAAATAATTTTTTCTTGCTTATAGTTAATTCTAGAAAGGCAATACTAAAGGTATATATTTTTTTCAAAATGCTATTTTTTACTGCACTTGATAATTATCCTGACAGCTCTGATCTCTGTGATAGATTCACTCTTCAGCTCTGGGCAGAACCAGAGGCAGGGTTCGCACCAAATTTGTAAATACCATATGTGGGTCTGGTGTCCAGGAACTTTTTTCTTTCTGTTAAAAAAGAAAAAAAATAAAAATAAAAAAAAAAAAAAGAAGTAGAGGTGGAAGAAAGACAAGACTTAGAGGAACAAAAGAACGTTTTCTGTTGAGATAGATACTCTTCTCAAAGAAATAGCAACAATTGTATAAACAGGAAAACCAGCCAGCTTTCATGATAAAAGGAAGGAGTGTCTCTTGCCCTGGTATGAGATTAACAGAAATACAGATGCATTTTTGTTTTGGTTGAAAGACGGTGAGAATTTAGAAATGCTTAGGACTAGATTTTTAATTTTTTAAAAGAACTATTATCATTTATTATGGAATATTTTTCAGTTGTTTTCAGTGGGTTTCTTGTTCCTTTTTTCGTTTAAAACCTTCTTTGTTGACTGGCTCCAGGCTTGTTTGCCTAAATTCTTAGGTAGTTTACACAAGTTCTAGAATCTTTTAGAACTTTAACTCCATTGGAAGCAAACCCAACTAATCGGAGTTTGAAATCCTGGTTGGTTTCAATAGGTATTCTGGAATTCTGGCAGAACACCTAAAGATTTTTTTTAAGAAGGTTTTAGATACATTATCTTACACAAACTGTGACCTAATGGCAATAATTACCTCAAATGTGGGCATTCATCCTGGTTTTAGCCTTTTTTGAAATCATGTAGCCAGCTTGATCTTGGAATTTAAAGACTATGAATTCTCTGTGGGCTGAAAATAATGATTACTTCATACCCTGGTCATCGTTGCTTAAGTGAATTCTGAAAATAGCTCATCTTTACAACAAAAATGAAACCAAGGAAGAGATTATTCTTTGTGTGTTGTACTCAAATGTGATGTTCAAATGCACATGTTAAGTATATATGTTTTTAGCTACTGTAAAATGCTGTTAGCCTTCTAAGCTATCAAGAGAGTCACATTTTAAATGAGTAAACTAAACTATTGACTGTGGATACTTAAGCATATTTCTGGCTACGTTTTATAGTTAAAGTGTTTTATAGTTTACATTTAGACTGGTACTTTTTAAAGAAAAGTTCTGTTTATAACTGACATCTGCAAACCCCAGCGAATGCCTCTTAGTTGCAGGCTGCGTCTCCCCCAAGGCAGGTGTGTTGTCCCAGACTCTTCTGTAGTCCAGCATGTGCACTGCCCTCCGGATTATTAGTTTCCATGTGAACTCGAGAGAACATGAAAGGCAATCCAGATGGAGGGAGAAGGTGTCAGTCCGCAGCCCGGGCCAGATGCGAAGGTCTCATGCATGTCATCTAAACACTTGAGTTCAAGGCCTTCTCTCTGACATCTTGGGAAAGTCATTGAGAACAGTTAACCTGGTTCATTGATTTTTGTCTTGATTTGAATATTTAACTTATTAATAGATCCACTGATTTCCAGGCACCAGGCAGTAGAAGAGACTGGGATTCAGGTGACCATGAAGGCGCAGCTGCTACTTCTGGGCCTGGGGTGATATTTTGATCAGCGCTTTGTAGGGGAGGACCGTATACCCCTATTCCCATGGTCGCTGGCTGGGTTTTCCATATATCTGCTGTCATTTATTCGTTTTCCCCTTGAAAGCAAAATCAGTGTAAAAGGCTATGTTTACGTTTTACTCATTGTCCAGCTTAGACTCAAAGCCTAGTTCAGTGGGAGGGAGGCCTTAGCATCCTCTCAGAGATGGTCAGGGCTGAGCAGGAGAAGAAGGCGGAGACAGAGGGGCAGCTCAGCCTGGTCCATTGAGACCTACTCTAAACAGACATCGTGTTTGGAACAAGAGAGATGCTTTGAGATGGGAATAGGCCCCACTGTCACGCAGAAACAGACTGGGGGGATGGCAGTTGCCCTGAGTCTTGGTTTCTTTTGCTTTCTCTTGTGCCACCACCAAACTGCAGAGGACCTGCCGCGACCTAAAGGGCATTCCTTTAGCAGATAAGACCTTGAAAACTGCAAAACACCTGGGACCAGGGAGCTTTTAAAAAATACAAAAAATATACCACTTTTGCTTTTTCCCTGTGAACTGCATTGACAGTGTGTTCTTACGACAGTCTTTTGGTAGAAATGTTACAGTAAAATAGTTTTCATCTCACCCCTCCTAATCATACTCCCACTTTCCTGTTTGTGTGGTGGTGGTGTTGTTTTTTCCTTTACATGAATTAACCAAATGAATTTTGTGTCATTGTTTTTGGGGCTTATATTTTTAAAACATAGAAATTGCCTTTTTGTTCATTTGAAAAGTAAGTATGTTGTATCTGAAAAAGGGCTCTGCCTCTGCTCTCCCTAGCTTCCTTGTAACCAATCTCCACATGAATCTCTCCTGGCACTGCCCCCTTCCTTATATAGGGTCACTGTCCCCAGGGCCACCTCTGCCTCCACCCTGCTGTCACCACTGCCCCGGGCCAAGGCACCCAGGACTCCCAGAAAGTGCAAGAGCCGGCAAGAAGGCCCCAGTCAGCCTTGAGACTGGTGGTCAGAACTCCCTGTCAAGAGTCGCCTGCTGGGCTGAAGGGGCAACAGATTGTCATTGTTGAAATTGTTTGGCTCAGGTTATAAGGAGGAACTTGGGAAGTAGAAAGTGACTTGACCATGCACATCCCTGGTAGCTTCCTGTAACTAATGAACAGAGAGCGCACCCCCACCCCGCCCCGTCCTGCCCCACCCAGTCCCCGAGCAGATGTTCCCGCCTGCGCTGCCGTGAGTCAAGTCGGTCCCCCGTTTTGGCTCTCCTCCCTTTTGTGTTCCTGCTTACTTCAACCTTCTTCCATGGACTTTCCAGGGCACAATCATCTCTGGCCCCCAAATCATCTCTTCATCCTCTGTGTGTGCATTTTTTTAACCAAATGAAATAGACAAGAAAGTCATACTTTGGGGCAGCAGAATTTCTAGTTTAGTAGAATCACTGTATAGAGATAGATATTGATATATATGTTTGTGTATATATATCAAACCAAATTTGATAGGAGAAGTATAGCTTTACGGATGAGGAAGAGGAAGAGCTCTTTAGAGGTCGGAGTTAGCACTGGTGTCTTGGACGTGCATGGGCCTTGTCCCAGGCCACTCCGCACACGTGGGACTGAGGCGTGGCGCCAGGCCCTTGTCATCCACCTCACCATGGCAGAGCCAGCGGGCCCTGTAGGGTGCACCTGCTCTCACTGGGTCCCAGCTTCAAGCGCATCGGTGGGTGATGGGGGCAACAAATCAGAGTGACTGGAATTTTCCATCCCGTTTTGCTTTGACTACATGTATTGAGCTGCAGCCTCTGATATTCTATCACATTTCCAAAAATGGTATCCATTAGGATAGAAAGAGGACGGATCTGTGGAAATGTTTACCTTTCAACTGCCCATGAATTCAGGACACTGGATAGAAAGACTCACTCCCCAAAATGAGAACAGGGAAGAGGAGACCTGGTGACACTGAGTCACCAGGTCCAAGGAACGTGGC